TAGTACTTAAGAATAGAACCCAAGTATATCTAGAATAGTCATCTACCAAGACAAATGCATATTGTTTTCCACCCAAGCTAGTAGTTCTAGTTGGCCCAAAAAGATCTAAATGGATCAATTGTAATACTCTACTAGTTGATACATCATTAATAGATTTAAAAGAAACTCGTTTTTGTTTTCCTTTAGCACAAGCATCACAAATTTTATCATTATCAAATTTAAGCTTAGGCAACCCTCTTACTAAGTCTCCTTGAATTAACCGTTGCAAAACACTCATACTAGCATGACCTAGTCTCCTATGCCATAACCAACTATCATGCTCATCCTTAGCAACTAGGCATAAATTAGTCATATCAATAGAATCTAAATGCACCATGTAAATGTTTCCTATTATATGACCAACAAGCATAATCCGATTAGATGCAATGTCAATGACTTTACAACCATTAATTTCAAATAAGACATTGAATCCTTTATCACACAATTGACTAATACTCAAAAGATTATGCTTTAATCCATTCACATACAAAACATTTTTAATTTGTGTGGAAGAGGTATTACCTATAGTACCAATACCTTCAATATGACCTTTTGAATTGTCTCCAAAAGTCACTTCTCCTCTATTTTTGGCGTTAAGCTCAATGAACCGGCTTTTGTCTCCGGTCATATGTCTTGACCATCCACTATCAAGGTACCATGAATTTGAATTTGTTTCCCGTGCCTTGTAGCAATGCTCCTTTCCCTACAAACATAGATTAATTTTTGATTTTTGGTACCCAAATTCTTTTGGGTCCATATTCATTAGTTTCCAAAATCCTAGTCCCCTTAGGTATCCATTTGTGTAGGATATCTTTATCTTTAGTAGTAATGAGTTCTTTAAGAACCCATATGCTTCTAATGATTTTTCCATTTGAGGTTATTTGGGGACCTCTATGATTGTAGTTTTTAAAACTTTTTCTAACAAAGTTGGATTTTGAATTTTCTCCTTTTTCAAAATGCTTTGTACCAACTTTATCAAAAGAAGTTTTAAGATCATCAATTTTCTTTTGATGATCATCATTGACCTTTGAAAGTAAATTTTGCAAATCTAAATTTTTCTTTTCAAATTCTTCTAGTTTGATTTGCAAATCTTTGATTTTACTTTCAAGATCATTGTTGGTTTTGGATATGAGTTTGTTTTCATTTTTCAATTTTGAAACATCATTTTTATATTTTAAAAACAGTTTCTCATAATCCGAAGCCAACCCATTGTATTCATCAAATAACTCATCATAAGATAAATCATTAAAATAGGATGAGTTAGAGGTTACCTTAGAATCTTCCTCGAATGCCATCAAGCACAAGTTTGCTACTTCTTGTTCCTCTTCATCGGAACTTTCTTCATCGCTCCATGTAGCCACATGAGCCTTGTGCTTATTCTTTGATTGACCATTTTTCTTCAATTGTGGGCAATCATATTTGACATGCCCCGGCTTTTTGCATTCATAGCAAATGATTGGGTCCTTCTCTTTTGGTTCATTTTTGAGGCCTTCGTTTCGTTTGAATTTTCTTCCTCGGTAAGGTCTCATCATTTTTCTGAACCGTTTGGCAAATAATGTCATTTCCTCGTCATCATCATCATTATTAGAATCACTCTCATCTTTTGTGGATTTGAGAGCAACTCCAATGTTTTTCTTCTTCTCCTTCTCCTTTGGTGTCTCTTCAACTTTATCAAGGTCCACCTCATCTTCAAGCATCATCTCATGAGTGAGGAGTGAACCGATAAGTTCTTCAAGAGTTAAGGATGATAGGTCCTTAGACTCGATGATTGCCGTCTTCTTTGATTGCCATGATTTTGGGAGGGAGTAGACTAACTTCCTCACAAGCTTTTCATTTGAGATGATCTCTCCATACGATTTAAGACCATTGACAATCGTTGAAAATCTATCCGTCATAGCTTTGATGTCTTCATTTGGTTTCATCCTGAAATTTTCATAGCTATGCGTTAGAATACTAATTTTTGATTTATTTACCTCATCTGTACCTTCATGTGTGACTTGAAGCTTGTCCCATATTTCTTTGGCGGTTGTACACGATGAAACTCTTCCGTATTCATGTGGTCCAAGAGCACAGAAAATAATATGGATGGCTTTGGAGTTGAGCTGGAATATTCTTGTGTCTCCTTCACTCCACAACCTTGGATGAGTGAGAGGCTTGATGTATCCTTCTTCTACGGCATTCCATGCTCCCATGTCACTTGCTTGAATGAAGTACATCATTCTATTCTTCCAATAGGCATAATTAGCCCCATTGAAGAAAGGAGGCTTGTTGACGGGCATTGAATCGAGACCGGAGTCGTAATTTGAAGTGGAGGCCATTGATGACTTTGTAATCGATGTAACTCTTCCCGAATCGACTCAAGAGGCGATTAAACCTTCAAATGAGTGAGGCTCTGATACCAATTGTTGAGTTAATCGATTGACGGAATCGGCCAAGAGGGGGTGAATTGGCAATAAAAATTTCTGTGGAAGCTTTTGTAGAAAATTGAAAAGATTTGCACAGCGATTTAGAGTGGTTCGACTTTCTCAACCAAAGTCTACGTCCACTACCTTAGCTATCCACACTAAGGATTTTCCACAAATTCACTAATTTGTCTTTCTTTTGAGGACAAAGAGTAACCTTACAAACCCTCAAGAATTATACCCCAAATTCTTGAGAAAACTCTCTCCCAAAGAGAACAATACAAATTTGCAAACTTACAAGGAAATCCTCACAAGGTTGATTGTTTGCACAATTCTAGAACAAAGAAAAGAACACTCAAAGATGAATACAATTGAGTACAAAAGTGTTCTTGAAAGCAAAATGAATATTGAATAAAGAATAGGCTTGAAATGCTCAAACTTGAGGTTTGATTCTTTATCTTTGATTCTCTCTTGATTCTAGTTGCTTGATGTTTCTTATTGTTTCTTCTTGTTGATCAATGGCTTCAAAACTTGTTTAAATACTCCTTGAATCAATTCTGAACGTTGGTGATAATTAGTGGAGTCAATAGAGCCGTTTAAGTGTGAAAACAATTAATTTTTCTAGGTGGAGCGTCTCATGCATCGATGCATGATCAAGGATGCATCGGTGCATTCGTGTAAAATTCAAATATTTTGACCGTTGGAACACTTGATGCATCGGTGCACCAAGTGTGCATCGATGCATGAAATGCATTCGATGTTTGAAAAATAGCCTGGTGCATCGATGCATGGCTTGTGCATCGATGCATCAAATGCATTCGATGTTTTGAAAGTATTCAGAGTGCATCGATGCATGGAGAGTGCATCGGTGCATGGAATGCATTCGATGTTCAATTAATTCATCGATGCATGGACTGATGCATCGGTGCATGCCTTTGAATAATTGATTTAAGGCTTGTTTTTGGTTCAAAATACTTTGTGAAAATTGATTCAAAAATAGTTTAAGTACAAATCACAATTTTACACATTTAGTAAGGATTAAAATTGATCTTGAAAAACTTGGAGTAATAATTTGATATTCAGTTAATTGAATTGAATATAAATTTGTAAAATCATTTGTAAAATCTTAAAATTCATTTAACTTAATTTGTTATATCGAAATATCAAAAATGTTTTCAACATCCTATGACTGCTGAAGCTGCATAAATTATGGTACGTTTATTGGATACAGTTTTTGAATTATGTTTTATTTATATCTGTAGCATGACATATTTATTTGAATTAATTATTTACTTTATTATTAAGAAAAATTGAGGGAGAAAAAGGTGGAGTATCAAGCTTTGACTTCGAGTCAATGTCTTGTTAATGAGGATGACATTGAAAATCAAGCTATTAATGATGTTTTAAGTCATGAAAGACATGGCCGGGTGCGCTGTCAAGGATCATTCGTTATTCCCACCAAATATTCTAGATTCAATTCATCTCAGTACATGTCATCCCAGTCTCAGTCTTCCCAATTAGAAGTTAGTTAATTAAAACAAAAGTTGGTTGAAATGGATCAACAAATGGCTAACATGAAAGCCGAAAATGAAGCAAGGGAAGCAGAGAGAACAATAGTGGAAGCAGAGAGAGAAGTAGCGGCAGCACAGAGGGAAGCATCATATCAGCAAAAATGTCAAGAATTTAAAAAATGACTCGATGCTATGATGCAGATGTTACAGAAAACGCAACCTCAGAATCCACCATCATAGTCTCATTTATGTTATCAGCAGTCTGTTAATGTTATTGAACCGTGTTTAACTGAATTGATATTACGTTAATGAAAACTTTTATTTATTATATTGGATTTGATGTTGCTTGTTATGGATATAGAGTTTGATGTTATTAATGTCGTTTTTGTTGGATAATGGAACAGGTTAAAAAAATAGATTTGGGGTAATCGAAGAAAATATTTAAATTGTTTAAATTTTGTGTTCTTTAGTGGTGTTTGTAAAAAAAACACTGCTAAATATCAAAAACAACACCGGCGTTTGTAACAAAAAACATTGCTATATACCATACCTTTTGCGGCGTTTGTATCCGAAAAATTCCGCGAAATATCTTAACCTTTTGAGGCGTTTATGCTATATACGTACGCATTTTGCGGCATTTGTGGGAAAAATGCTGCTAAATCTCAACACCTATTGCGGCGTTTTTTGTTATCAAACGCCGCAAATTTTAGTTGCCCTATTTTCTCCGACGCTTTTTGCGGCGTTTGTCATATCGCCGTAAGTGTTTTTTGTGGCGCTTAAAAACATCATTATAGGTAAAAAAACACCGCAAATGTACAGTTTTGTTGTGGTGTTTACAAAAATCAACCCAAGGAGATCATATAAAAACTGAATCATTGGTGGTGTTTGATAAAAAAAAAATTCCATTGTTTTTATGTGTTATCAAAACTAGAAACCACAGACACAAAATGGAATCCAAACCATCCTCAACAAAAGACACGTACTTTTCTCACTAACCATACAAAAAAAAAACACCAAATGTTTTGTAAGCCATGAATGACGTGTAAACGAACTCCCCACCCGTTCTTTAATCTTTTATATCCCCTTTCCCACTCCCTAAACCCTTCAATCCCTCTTGTTCAAGCCTCATACAAAAGGGATCATCAACAACATGAACGTACAAGAAGCACCACAAATGACCACCCACCCCCCAAATCCTCCCCAGTTTCTTGAAGAACCCAGCAAATCTCTGCAAGCTGACGAGGGAAGCTCGTTAAAGGGTCGGTGTTCATCGGCTGATGGCGTTCAACAAGTAGTTGTCGATCAAGTTGCTATAGGAGCGGTGAGGAGGGCTGAAGAAGAAGACAATGGGCGGGAAAGATTGAAGAGGCATAGGAATGAAGTGGCAAAAAGTAGGGTTTGGATTCCAGATATCTGGGGTCAAGAGGAACTTTTGAAAGATTGGATTGATTGCTCTGCATTTGATGACTGTTTGGTTCCCACTGGGATTACGTCGGCTCGAGCTGCTTTGGTTGAACAAGATCAACTTCCCGCAGGCTTAGAATAGAAAACAGGTGTTGAATTATATATTATCACTATCCTTTATTTGTTTTCTGTTGTATAAAATTATTAGCATCAAATAACTTTAAAAATCCAAGTAAACGAAGTAAATTTTCATGTCCAAGGATAATGCAATGATATTATGATAATAACCACAAGAACTCATTGAGTATGGCGTAGGGATCGATGGTCCAAGTGTACCAAAACTTTCATTTTTGCTTTTACACAGGTTGTGCTTTATTGTTTCCATGATAAATAATATCTGATTTAAACAAATTTCTTAAACAATACGTATGCAAAACCACAAAGTAGTTCTTCACTTTATCATATACCATAGTGTAACATTCAATCACAGTTTCCACTTTAATTTTTAGTCCTTTCTAAGCCACTGATTTGATAAAGGACTTGCAAATCAATCATATCAGTTCACCAGAAGAAGAAGAACCCAATAACTGAGTCAACCTGCATAAAGAAACATCTGTATTTGTGATCTATATTCATTCACTCTTTTACGTAGGTCCATCCCTGTCAACTAATTGATTTAATGCGATGAAACTCTAGATTTCTCAATTAAGATTATGGATTCGAATTTTGATACTATGAATGTAATAAACAAGGCTGGGAGGACCATCCCATAATAAATTTCTATAATATTCGATCCGGATTAATCAATCATTAGATCAAATGTAAATGATTAAACCAAAAGAATTTATATGCATCTCATGCTCCTTCAATGCCAATGGATGTTGGAGAAATAACTTACTAATTTTATACATAAATTATTTTGTAACATCATAAATATATAAAATATTAAAATAATAATTCTATTTATCGAATTAAATGACTTAATTTCAAAATTGAGTTCATATTTAATTCAAACATAAAAAAAATCATTTTCATTTTACATCTATTTTTTAAGACAATGACAATAAGCAAGATGAGGCCCAAAAAACTGACCTATTGGGCCATTCAAATTAAACTAAACTAAATCGACACATTTCGGTTCGACCCGAAAACCCCTTGTAAGAAATTTCATCCTTACAAACACGAACGTTTCCCCATTTCTTGGCGTCCAAATTCTCGGCAAACCCTAATCGCAGATCCCAGCAAGTGCGACTACCTCGATCTTTAGTAATCGCCATGGACTACGCATCTCAGAGAAGAGGTCAAGGAGGCCTTTTCGAAGGTCTTTATAGAGTTATCATGCGCCGTAACTCCGTCTACGTCACCTTTGTCATCGCCGGTGCTTTCCTCGGAGAACGGGTAAATTCGAATTCTTTTTTTTTTCCGATTGGATCTTTCTCATTTCTATTTTTGATCCTTTTTCGATTGAATTTTAGTGCTGATTTTAGAGAAAATATTTTTGTTTATTTATTTACTGATCGGAATAGTTTTGGTCGGAGGATTGATTTTTTTTATTATTATTGGAAGTGATGAATGATGTTTAGGATTAGTTCTTTTTTTATGAGTATTGATGTAAGGAGAAAGAATAGCGAAGATTCTTATTGTGATCTGACTTTTGTAGGCTGTGGATTATGGAGTTCATAAGCTCTGGGAATACAACAATGTTGGGGTAAATCTTCTAATTTCTAATAATGCCAGTTTTTCTGTTTATTTTATTTGCACATTATTTGGAATCTGATTTGCAAATTGGGTAGTTTAATTCATTGTCACTTTTCCAAGGCACACTGGGATTTATATTTGATTGCATTGTGGAGAAGATAGCCTCTGCTCTCCTTATTTTGCTCATTCTCATCTCTGCAATATTGTTGTAATCTATAATTGACTACAATACTAGAATAAGCACCCTGCGCCCCAACCCCGTGCCCCGCCCCGCGGAACTTCACTTCTTTTTTTAAGTAAGCCCTTAGCCTTTAATTTGTACTAAAAAGCTTTAATTTCAAATGAAAGGTTGATCCATGATAAGGGCTTTATTAAGTGTAAATTAAAAGTTACATGCTTAGCTGGATATAAATTAAAAGTTGATGACTTATTAGGGTGTTAAGGGTTTCTTTAAGTAGACAAAAAGTATACAAAAAGTATACGCTCTTATTTAAATAAAGCGGAAAGTTCAGGGGCTCTTTTAATATTGTATCCTCTATGATTCTGCGTTGCTCTGTTTCATTTTTATATAAGTACCTATGTCCAATTCTTGTGTTTAATGTCTAAGATATTAGTATGGAGAATTGGAGATACTGTCTTCTAAATACATTGAAAAACTTAAAAACTGAACTTACCTATGTTGAACACATACCAATATCTGATACCCTCAAGTTTACCTAACATAGGTTATAATACCCTTTACTTGTTTGCATATTGGATTGACAGCGGCCTGATCATTGTCTGCAATAATTGAGCTTACATAGTCCATCTACTAACTTCTTTGTTTGATTTTATTTGCTATACAACAGAAACGATATGAAGACATTCCGGTGCTAGGTCAGAGGCAATCAGAGGAATGAAAGTGTCCCCCTGTTTCGTTTCTTTTGAAGTTGTTATTAAGTGATTTCTCTGAGCATACACCTATTTGGTAGCAATGCGCATTGTTACAATAAATTGTTGCTTTTTTCGGAGAAACCTGCATCTTTATTAACATTGAGTTAATAAAATTAATCAGGATATTTCTGAATTGTGGATGATTTACAATGTATACTGATGCTCATTGTAATGCCATAATGTACCAGATTAAATTGATATTGCACTGATAAATAAGGCAATATTAAATGGATTCAAATATTCAAAAACATAAAGTTGCAGATATTCATTATCCTGGCATATTGATGCAGTGAAGGTGCCGAGAAATTGATTGATAAGAATGCTCATGTTTTGTATCTAATAGGGATCATCATCTAATGTTATTAGTAAGGCTTCAACTATGTAAAAAATATTTGCACATACGTAAAGCAGGAAGCATACCAGCAATCCATATGGAAGAAATCAAAGGGAATTAGTAAGCTACAAGAAAATGAGTTGTTCTACAAGTTAATCGACCTTATAGATATGTTTATACAATGAACAAGACGACTTGGAAGGAATTCCAAAGGAATGAACTCCTCAACTAATCGACTGTTGCTCCTTGTACAAAATCATGGGAAATATTATCAACTCCTTCACTTTCATAGACCCTGCAACTTGAATGGGGTGCAAGAAACAAAGGGTGGCAGCAGTTATAAGATAATGAAATATACATGGTTTGCTCTCAATGAAAACATATTGAAATCCAGAACATCAGCCAATTTCGACACTCAACCGAAGCAACTTTTCATCAGATGATTCTTCACTCGCTTTGATTCTCTGCAAGGCATTCCCAATGCTAATGAGAAAAATGATCAAAATTTTCTAATAATTTGGGCAGCATATTTATCACCAACCATTATAAACGTAATTCAAAGAGATGAACAAAGCTTATTCATTCAAACTTCATTTTGCATATTTGTTACAGAAGAAAAGAAAATGAAAAATTTAAGTCTTTTTCACTATATTTTGTTTCACTCTACAAAACAAAATACTAATCGAACATATTTATTATCAAACGTATTGAAAAGGTTAAATTATAGAAATTTTGAATTTTAATGAATAGAATTTTTCAAACAATGTATTAAACACAGTTGGAGCTATACCATTTATATTATTTTATTTAGAAGAAAATCGACATTAAAAAAATAGCTTTAAAAATATTAAACGGTATAAATGATGACAGTGTTGTAGCGAAAACAATACAAAACAACAAACATTATAGCGTCACAAAACAAATATGTACGGCCCATAAAGCTGAAGAGAATACCATAAGCTACGTCCGACAGCTGATTTTCGAGCATATTGTTCATTCAAGGGTAAACTACATAAATGACTACCCAACTATGGATTCGGTCTCGAAATGACCACAATATTCAAATTTATGTCAATATGACCACTGAACTATTTAAATGGTTTCAATATAGCCACCTGCAGTTAACATTTTTTTTGGTACACAAAAGTTTAAGTCAGGGGTGACTCCCCCAATCTAGGGTCAGGGCATACCTAAAACCCAATTGGGATTTATATAGGACTTTACAGATTGCCTACCAAGAGTGATGGTGGTGGAATTCGAACTTAGCCTTACAAGCTCAAATTCCTGAATCCTAACCACTTGTGCCAACACTCGTCGGTACCCGTTGTTAACATTTAACAGAAGTATTTACGTGATAGTTAACAAAATTAGTATAATTAGGGTGCGGGTCCTTGTAAAGTTATGTATTTACAACGCTGGCACCCTACTTTGTTTTCTTCCATTTTTGTCACTACTTGTATATGATATGTTTTCTTGAATTTTCATTTAATGCAATTTGATATTGATTATGTTTTTAATTTGTCTAATGTTTTAACTTGAGCATTAACTTTAAAATCTTTTATTCTTGTCATGTATTGAATTTATTGAATAAATATCCTAGATTTTAGAATTAATCGATGAGTCAATTCCCACACTTGTTATCAGGATAATAAATATATTATATAATTTGTTCAGGTTTAGGCAGAAAAATAAAACTAAAATAACTTAATTTCATTTGAACCCAAAATCAGTTAGTAACCAAGCAAAGCCTTAAACAATAGGCTAAATCTAATATTTAGGAATCAATTAAAGTATTTTATATATTATATATTATAGTTAATGATATAAATAAAAAATAGATAGTCAAGGACTTAAATCTAGGCCAATTGAGAATATAATAACATTTAAATTACTAAAAAAATATAATATTATTTATAATTAATTTAATAATTTAATAATTTTTATATTAAATTATTTAATTTATATTTTTTTATTAATGATTATATATAATTTTATTTAAAATTAAATTAAAAAATTATTTAGCATACTAGAACTCACGAGCACAATTCAAAATCAAAAGACAAATTTATAATTTGAATCTTAAATATTTTTATGATTGCAATTTAAATATTAAATTATTTTTTAATGATTCATATATATAATCATTTAAAAATAATTATGAAAACAATAAATTTAGTTTAAAAATATTAAAACCTTAAATCAATAATAAATAAACTATTAGATTTATTTTAGTGATTTAAGTGTTGTCATATTCTCAATTGGTCTTGTAACACTCTGTCCCATAAAATAACACAAAAAAAAAACAAAATTATATAAAAATAAATATAACTTATAGCACTATGAATAAAATAATAGCACTAAGAATAAAAAAAATGAAGTGGCAGACAATGGCTTAACCACTATGCCATTTGTTGTTGTTTTTTTATTAAAAATATTAAATGGTGGATTTGTTATTAATTGTTGGGTGATTACCCATGTTATAGCAGAAACCCCCTCGTGTTTTGAATTCAGTTTTCCCCTCATTTAAACTAGTTGTCGCCCCTCCTCCTCCTCCTTACTCCGGCCGGTGGTGCACGTCACTACCACCTCCATCAGGTGCACCTGGCCTCCGTGAAGCAACCCCGACCAACCTTGCTCCGAAATCGGTCACAGTTCGGATGAATCGAGAAGGTAAGCCAACGCCCAAAACTCCGATCGTCATTTTAATTTTGTCGATTCCGGCCATTTCAACGACCGTCTTGTTTCACCGCCCCGATTTCATACTCCTCGTCGCCTCCTGTTGCATTGACGTTTCGCTCGTCTGCTGTGGTAAAGTCAAATCGTTTAATTTGGATAATATTTTAGTGTTTTAGCTTGAAAACATGTTATAGTTGGTGTTGTTTTAGATTGTAAATATTTTTAAAAGGGTGTCTAATAAGTAATTAATTTCTGTTAAGGTGCTATTTTTGTAAATATTTTTAAAAGGGTGCCTAATGCATAATTAATTTCTGTTAGGATGATATTTGCGTAAAAGTTTACCGTTAACTGTTGACCACAACTTTGACCGGCGTTGACCGACCATTAAACGGCCGTTGATTTTTCCGGGTATACCTAGTCTGATATTTTTCGATGTCCTGAGTCCGAATCCAAAGTTCGTTTTACCAAATTCAAAATCGAAAGCCTCTGAATTAGCCCGTAAACCTGAAGAATTCATATTTATCTAAGTGTTTTAATTTAGTTAATTGAAATGAATGGTCAAGGACTAATTATAGTTATGTTCAAGGTACTCGGAGATCTCCTGATTGTTTCACTGCTCGACCCGGTTCCTCCCGATCCGCTCGTCCATGAGAAGCCATGAATACTCATATAGTTCTGAAACCGTGTTAGTTATTCTGTATATAATATTATTTCGAATATAACCCTGTTCTGATATGGATTAGGTTCCCGTTCAGTCGAAGAGCCTAGTGAAGCTGGTGCTCGATAGATCTTTCGGACTGACCCTATTATCGAGGTGTGTTCCTTATGTGCATAATAAATATTTTAAATATCTGTTTGAAATCTCATGTGCACATGATTGGTTTCTCTGATTTGAAATACAATGTTTGATATGATTTAACTACTGTATGATTTACCTGATTCTGGATTTACTGAAATATAAAGCATGATTGCCCGATTTATGATTTCTAGATACATGTTTACTGAATTGATGATCTGTCGGAATTCTGAATTTTTGTTACTAGTGCTTACCATCTGAAAAATGTTTTCTTCGGGGTACTTTGGGTTCTGGTATGAAGACTCTGACAGGTTCAGTCGTTGTTGGTAATTCCTCTGACAGACTCAACACCGATTGATAATTCCTTATGGACCTAATTCGAGCCTTGGGTAGGCTCTACGGCCCTGAGAATTTTCTTGGGCAAGTCTTAGTGGCCCCAGGAATTATCTTGGGTAGGCTCGCAGGCCCCGAGTTACTCCCTTAGGTTGTGCAGTTCTGGGATATGCATATGGCGTTCGGTTGAAGGACGATGCAGAGTTTTTAAATTAAAAACTACTATGATGTTTTAATGATTGTGATCTGTACTGGTTTTAAAAATCATAATTGTATGTTTTTATTTCTGCACTGTTAGGACACACTGAGCCTCTAGCTCACTTTTCAAACTGTTTTACCCCTTTCAGATACTCTCGGATTAGACACTCCGTATCAGGCACTTGGAGGATTGATACATTTAGTTAAGAGTATTTTGTTGTAATATTATGTCTTCTGAACTATTTTTTAATTATGGTGACATGTACTATTTTTGAAGTATTTATAGTTTTATGACGATTTTTGCTTTTGTTACTGATATTTGATTTTCGATGCTCCGGATTTATTTCATGTAATATTTTATTGGGTCTCTTCCATGTTTTATATTTACGAATTTAGTTTTTATAGTTAATTATTATATACTTTTATATAAGGTCATTTGTAATATGATTTTAAATTATTGAATAAGGTTTTTGGAAAAATGCCTTTCAGAATCTTTAATGTAATCCGCTAGACTTAGCCGAAACGCATAGGCCGAGTGTAGGGGGGTTACAGGCCTATATTTAAGTTTTCACTTATCTGTTTTTATTTTTTATCATTAACTATAATATATCTACATGAGTGACCACTCAACTATGGTCAAAAATCATTTTGACTATCGATGTTTTGATTTGATCAATTAGACCACCAAACTGTTTAAATGCTTCAATCAAGACACCTATCGTTATCATTTAATGGAACAAGTGACGTGGTAGTTAAATATGTTGATATAATTACACAATTGATTATGTTACTTATATATTCTTTTAACTTGGTCCTAATTTTAATAAATTAAAATAAATTTAACTCTCAAATCATGAGGTGCCATGTGTCAATAGTGATACCTATCGTGACACATATCATCATTCGATTAGAGGACAAGGGGACCATTGGCATGAAGCAAGAGCCAAACCATTGAGCCAAGACAACCATTAGTTATACTTTGGACAACAAATGATATATATCTTCTATCATAATATGTAAATGTTTTACTCAAAATTAATAATATTTTATATAACTTAAATTTTAAAATATCTTTTTTAACTTATTAAATATATTTTATTTTTATCTTAATTTATTAAATATTTTATTTTTATCTTAGCTTATTAAATATTTTTATTTTTGTCTTAACTTATTAAATATATTTTAAAAATATATTTTATTTTTGTATTAAATTAAAATATATTGTATTCTTAAGTTAAATATATAAGTTAAGATGTTTAAATATATTTTTAAAAGTTAAGAAAAAAAATAAAATATATTTAATAAGTTAAAAAATAATAAGATACTTTTAAAATACCTTAAATTAAAATATATTTTCAAATATATAATTTTATATTAAAATAAAAATAAAATCTATTTAATAAGTTAAGACAAAAAATATATTTAATAAATAAAAAAATAAAAGATATTTTTAAAATTTAATATATATAAAATATTATAAATTTTGAGTATAGCATTTACATACTATAATACAAGATATATATCATTTGTTGTAAAAAAATATATAAATGGTTACATTGGCTTAGTGGTTTAGCATCTACTGTTTCTAGCCAAAAGTTATGAGTTTGACTCCTCTTATCCACCTTATGCATCGTGGGTTTATTTTCTTTCAAGAGGGTGACACATGGTACCTCCCGATTCGAGGGTTAAATTTATTTTAATTTTTTAAAATTAGGACCAAGTTAAACGAATATATAAGTAACAAGACATATTGTGTAATTATACCAAATTTTTTTTAATTGTCACGTCATTTATTCCATTAAATGATAACGACAGGTGACTTGATTGAAATATTTAAATAGTTAGGTGGTCTAATTGATCAAATCGTAATATCGATGGTCAAAATGATTCTTGACAATAGTTGAGTGGTCACCCTTGTAGTTTACCCTATATAATATTATAATTTATTCCTAAATATTAGATTTAGCTTATTGGTTAGGGCTTTCTTGGTTACTAATTCATTTTGGTTCAAATCCAATTAAGTTATTTTAATTTTTTTCCTGCCTAAAATTGAATAAGTTATATAACATATATATTATCTCAATAACAAGCGTGAGAATTAACTCAGTGGTTAAGGTATGCGTAGGTTTCCCTTGGGACCTATGTTGGACTCCCTTGGGTGTCAAAACTCATATTCATTTATTTTAACTTCAATTTAAAAGGTGACACATGTCACCTTTTGATTGAATTGAGATTTATTAAATTATTTAAATTAAAATTAAAAAATCCTCTAATCATATTGTGACATGCATCACAATTTGATTGAGGAAATAAATTTATTAAATTAAATTGAAATTAGGACCTAATTAAAAATTAAGAATTAAAGTTAATCTTGGTGATCAAATTGATTAATTCTAAAAATTAGGAGATTTAATCTATAAATTTAATACATGACTATAATAAAAAGATTTTAAATTTAATGCTCAAATTAAGGCATTAGACAAATTAAAAACAGAATCAGGATCAAATTGCAACAAATGAAAATCCAAGGAAACAAATCATATACAAGTAGTGACCAAAATCGAAGAAAACAAAGCAGGTTTTCGTGCTGCGAATACGTAACTTTACAAGGACCTGCGCCCTAATTATACCAATTTATTAACTGCCACGTAAATACTTCCGTTAAATGTGAGCAGCAGGTAACTATATTGGAACCATTTAAATAGTTAAGTGATCATATCGATGCAAATTTAAAAATGGATGTCATTTCGAGAACAAACCCATAGTTGGGTGGTCATTTATGTAGTTTACCCTTTATTCAATTACTTAATACAAGCCAATATTTATTAAGTTAATAAATTTAAATTTTTAATTTTAATATTTACACCTTCTTCAATCTTGTAAATCAAAACTTGAAATTTTTTTGGCTCTGCATGTCAGAAAATATTATACTTAGTGTGTTAAGATGAAGAAACAGGATTATTTCTTAACTTGCTTCTCTGTACATCCATTTGACCATGTTTAGAAGTTATCTATTCTTACTTTTATGTATAAAACAGTTCATATCTGTTTTTCCACTAAAGCTATGATGAATTGAAATGATTTTATGTATGAAACTTACTGAGAGTGGCAATGACAAATGTGATCCATACTACTTTACCTGCACTGTATATATATATGTGCTGAGCATTTTTTACTAGGTCAAATTGACTTGCCCTGTCAGTTTATGCGATAATTATGAGCAGTACCCACCAATACTATCATGGATGCAGCATTAGAATCGCACGAACACAAACCTAATAATTACACATGCAAAAAAAAATTATTTACTCTACTATTACAAGTCTTTGCAATTTAATTCAGGATTTAATTTATGCAGTGCTTAAAACTATTTCTTTTTCCTTGTCAAGCTTTTTTCCCCCTGATATGGCTACTAGAACAATTAAATTTTTTTATGCTTATATCAGATATAGATATACGTATGATAAGAATTCATTCCAACATAAAAAGAGTGTTGAGATTTGATACTTATTTGTTGTATACTGTTATACTAGCCCCAGGCTACTAGCTTCTCTTACCATTTCATTGACTTAGAATATGTGCTGAAGTCATCTATATTCATTTTTGTTTTGTTTAACTGAGTGTTAGGTGCCATTTAAATGATGAGAAAACCTAACAAAATCAATGTATGTAAGATGTGAGCAAGGACGAGGATTCAAGCCTCTTTTTTATCTGCAAAATTTCATAAACGAAACATGCATATATATATATAGTTGCAGTATATAATATATATACACACACACATGTATACTTTCCTAGTTTACTTCAGCTATACTTTCTAATGCAGGCTTCCACCTTCTTCTGCAGTTATTACCATCAAATATATCATCACCATTCGTGCTTTGTTTACTTTTATGCATCTGAGAAGCCAAATCATGAACTGAAACACCCTTTTGAACCAAGTCTTGTAATTCTTTCTCACTAACTATCAACTTAATCCGTGCAACACCATGGCTTCTTCCTTGTTCATCGTTCACCTCCGGAACATTCGAAAACCTCACCTTCTTTTTCTTGCTCTTTTGGGACGGTGATGGGAGAGGGATGAAGTAATACAACAGCCCGGGAAGCAGCTTTGCATCGGGCTGAAGGTGGTGGAAGCCGGCGAAAGAATCCGACAGTGCATGACCGGAGAAATCAGATAAAACTTGGTGTACTTTGATGGGTGGTTGATATTCTAGGATTTTCCCATCAGTTTTCATGACTCTGATCACCTTCTCTTCACGAACTAAGCAATTCCCCATGGCTTTGTTTTATGAATAAAAAAGTTTAATGTAAGTTTGAGTTGGTGAGTGTTGTATTTATAGAATTGGTTATGGAAATAACCTTGTATATAAATTATTACTACCCCAAATGTCATTGGACCCCATTTGTTGATTTTGCTGGTGTGTATGCTCTACTTTGAAAGTCAATACTCAATCATTCCATTTTTCATAACTTCAAAAACATTTACTAAAAAGTATTTATTTTCAGTTAAGTGGAGCAGGCTCGATTGGTGAGGTAGGATAAAGGCAAAATCCCAATCCCAAGCTTGGTTCAATTTGTTCATCTTAACCATATATTTAGGATAAATATTCATTTACTAAATTAACATATTGATCACCCGTAAACGGAACAATTAATATGGTTAGATTAGTCGGTTACGATTAATCTCTTCTAATTTGAATGGAAAGTTATAATTAATAGTTGTACGAGGATTGACCGATAATATTAGAAAAAATGAATTAATAGATAAAGAGAGAAAAATGAAGAAATGATCGTCATATAGATTTATATATTAATTCTTTGTCTATGCTGGTGTCAGACCTAAAATCATAATTCTTATTTATAGGTTAACAGAATGTGTAAATGCATCTGTCACCAAATAGATTTGATTATGATAAATCTTATAAATTATTAAAGGTATTACAAAAAAAATATCAGTCAGGAGACTTTTTTTAGGGAACTATCTTGTTTCAATGGACTGGAAAATTAATGGATGAAAGAATTGTATTTCCAAAGCCATAACATCACCAAATAATTTTGACACAATAAAATTATAGTATTAAACTTCATATTAATTTCCAATTAAATTTTAGTACAAGTGGTATTAATGATAAAAGATAATGTTATTTTCTTCAGAGGTCTTGATTCGAGCATTTGCGTCAACAAAATATGTTTACGCTATGAATAAATTAAGAGAATTATGAACATACTCTAATTTATAATCATCATCTCATACTATTTAAAAAAAAAGCTTAGGTGCCTAATAAATTTTAATAATAAATCGAATCTTTAAGGAGACGATTGGTTCATGAAATGTAATATTATTGGGAATAAGTTGCGTGTGACCGACCCCAATTTTTTTACAGCACAAGATCAGTTTGGATCCTGTAGGGACCCCTGAAACCAAAAGTGATATCTGTCTTTGACTATTCTTTTTGCAGCGGTTTCATGGACAACAGGCGCGTTCAATCTCTCTATTATCATGTGGTCGGTAAAAGGATGAAAGCAACCTTTGTTTTTTACACTCTTTGTTTTCTTCATGCTTATTTTGCAGCAGCTCCCAAACTGCAACAGCCAAATTGAGGTAATGGGATTTTAATTGAACAAGTGTAATAAGTGATTAGTGAAGATTTGTTCGGAGATGGGGACGCCCCACTTGGAATGAAGAAAATGGTTTAGGTTCTGCTTAGTGGTGATGCTGTCAACACGCATGCTTTGGTAAAGTGAATTATGGGCGTAATTCCTCAAGAATAATGGGAGCACAAAATCAAACCCACTTCGGAAACTTTACAAATAAAGTAAGGCAGATGAAAGCAGCCTAGTTCTACAGGACAAATCACTCTTGACTTAACCAATGCTGCAAATGATGCCACATTAACCTAAAATTTAAATGCATAAAAGCATCTACGTTGAGGCATTCAATCTGAAATTATGTCATCCTGGCGAATTGTATTTAAAAAAAAAAAGCCAATGTTTGAAATTCAGATTCTCTTGTCTTATTGCTTCCTTTTTTTCCATACAAAACAAGAAGACTATGAAGCTCCGGATTGCTTTGTGCTGCTTTCATGAAAATTACATCGCTTCTGTCATCAATGGGAAATGGTGGAATGAACAGTTGAAATAAGAATGTCTTTTTGTTTTTTCATTGTTTATTCTCCACGATTTTATGTTTTTCTCCTGAACATTTCGTTTATTAATTTTTTTATTAATACGAGATATAAGTAATATATAATTCTCAATCATATGAGGACTCTCGTACCCCTAACATTCTTAGTAACACTGAACAACGAAATCGAGAAAAGTAAAAAATCAATCTGAAACAGACTATTCGGTTTAGTTCAGTTCAAATTATTCAATTTACGGTTCAATATCGGTTCGGTTTAAAAAATAAATATTCAATTCGATTCAGGCTCGATTATTTCATATGGAAACCGTTTAAACCGAATTAACAAATAAAAGATAACAAGTATACAAAACACATTCATTTTGAATTTATTATAAGACAAATTTAAATAAAAAATATTATAAATAATAACATTTTTATAAATTTAAATTTATATATTTGCACTCAATTTAAGCTTTAAATTTGTTTTTTTTAGGTTGAGTTTGAAAATTAATGAACAATCAAAAACTGTCAAACTAAACCAACCCAACCCAAATCGAACCAAACTAAAAATCATGATTTTTATGTTATTCGGTTTCGGTTCCCATTTTAAAAACTTACAAAGTGTAGTTCGGTTCATATTTTTAATAAAAAATCAAATCAAACTGAATCGAATACACACCTAATTCTTAGTGCTCGAACTCGGGACCTCAATCATTTGACATTGAATGCTCATACCCTTGAAATTCATGGTGCTTGAACTCAGGAATGAATAACAAAAAATCATTTACCATCGAGATCATTTGGTTCGTGCTTGTTTATTAAGGTTTTTTTTATTAATATAAGATAAATACAATGTAATATCTCTTCAAATATAACTTTCAATCATTTGACATTGAATGCTCATACTCCTGACATTCATAGTGCTCAAACTCGGGACATCAAGGAATATCATCAAATTTTTATATTCATTAAATAAATGAACGAACATGAACATAAGTGTGTTCAGTTTGTTTATATTCACGAACAAACTCGTTTATCGACTCGTTTATAAGCTTGTTTATTGAATCGTTTATAAGATCATTTATCCAAATTTTTTAATTTTAAATATTAGTGAAAAAGAGACTAAATTAAATATAAGATAAATTTTGGAGTTCAAACTATGAACCCTAAAAAACTTAAAGACTAGTGATGTAATTTTATCATTTTTATTTGGTTTACAAATAAAAGACAAAAAAGTGATGATGGTTAACCCGACGTCAAAATAAATATGTTTGTGAACGTTAAAGGAAGATATTTATGGATGTTAAATCAACGAATATAAATACCTTCAAAAATAAATAAACGAACACAATACTAAAAAATTAAACGAATATAAATATTTTAAAAAATAATCAAACAAATACGCATACAAATTTATTTATTCAAACTAAGTTGATATATACCCAACATCTCTTTTCTGAAACAAAATATTATATTTTTAACTATAGAATTCAGCTACGAAGGCACGAACCATCAAGTTTGTGAACAATTTCAAGAGTAAAAATAAAGGAAGCGCAAGCCTTTTGTTCGTATCAGATTAAAACTATTCCTTTCTCATTACTCTTTCCTCACAAAAAAAGTGTTGAAAATTTTGATTTTGTTTGTTTGGAGGTTTCTAGATATGGTCCAGGATTAGACATGGCTCAGCCACCGCCCTATGGAATTGTTTTGATTGAGCCAATTATTGTTAATTTTGATTCATTTCAATGATCTTCAACTTCTCCTTTCGGCTTAGTTAATGTTCCATATCTTCATCAGTTTATGGTCACGTGTACTATATATGAACACGTGGAGTCATCGTCTTCTTCCTTTACGTTAATGCTCAATGAAAATTAACTGACCTATAGTGTTGTCTGCTCTGTCATAACGTCTCATTCGAGGATTCGTTAGACTTATAAATTAATTTGAATTTGACGAAAGACGATGAATTTTAATTTTGAAACAATTTGATTTTGGAGTCGCAACCAACCTTTAAGTTAGGTAAGTTAGAAACTTTAAACATCATTTTAATGAGTTCAGAAAAATCATTAAAAGAAAAAAAAAATGGTATGCATTTTATCAAAAATTCTTTTTTAAGAGTTCGAGAGTCAATTATGGGTGGGGAAGGATGAGCACCCCCACAACGCCCAAGTTTGATACCTAAACGATTATATGATGTTTAAATGTTGGGAAATTATAAACTCGGAAATATATTTAAATTACAATCATTCTATTTATTTAAATTTATTTAGATGTCAATTTTCAAAAAAAAAACTAAAATAATGATGCTTTCGCCAATAAGGAAATAAAAATTTGATGACAAATGATAAATGTTGTGGGTAGGGGTATACACAAGCTGAGTCGAGCTCGAGTATTGCTGAGCTCGACTCGACTCGAAAACTCTGAAATGGTGCTCAAATCGACTTGAAAACTCGCGAGCTTAAAATTTTTAAGCTCGACTTGAACTCGAAATCCTGAACTGAAGCTCGCGAGCAGCTCGAAATGAAAAAAAATTCTTAAACTTAACTAGATTGAAGTCTCAAACTCAAATTAGAACCTGAAACTTAAATACATGAGTCTTACTGTATTTTTAAAAAAAAATCAACACATAAATGTTAATATTATTAATAATTTATTTTTTAAATAAAATCTTAATATATTATATTTTCGAGCTTCTCACGAGCTTTTCGAGTCGAGTATCAAGTAGCTCGTTTCGGCTCGCTAAGAATTCGAGTCGAGCTCGAGCTCGAGTCGAGTCCATTCGATCCAAGTATTTATCGAGTCTTGACCGAGTCGATCTCGAGTAGCTCGCGATCTGTCTCGTCTCATTTACAACCCTAGTTGTGGGTACAAAAAAATTAAAGAGCCCAAAAGATATTTTATAGAACAATGTTATTTCTTTAATAAAAAAATTATAATTGTTTTTATAAAAGAAAATAAATCATTTTGTACGAACAATCCTTGAAAATTAACTTCATTTATAGTTAGGAGACTTTTTCATGGATTCCCATCACAAAACGGTGTTTCTTTAATTTTATGGATGATATAGTTTAAAAGAGTATAGTATTATATTAAATTTTAGAAATGTTCAGATAAAATAATGCATTTTTGTGCGAACAATCATCGGGAATGCAC